CATGTGTTGGAAGTGATGATTTTGTCATCAGAGAATTATACTTTGAATTTAAATTTAGTCGCAAGTATCATGGGGGTGGAAAATATTCTTATGACAAGATCTAGTTTATTAACTCCAACAGAAAATGTCTGGGATGTGCCTATCACGCTTGCTGGAAGAATAATCAGGTTATGCTTAATTGCTCTCATCCATCTTCTGCCATGGGGCAGTGGAGAGTCGGGGGTGTTCTTCAAATAGTGCTTTTCCTTTCGGAGATAATGTAATAGCACTAAAAGTCACCAAAGTTTGTGGCTGAAGGCCTGGGGGCAGTGTTGGGCACAATTTAAGACCTAAAAGAATTAGAGAGATTCCAAAGGAAGTTCTGGAGATGGTGAAGGATCAGGAGGGGCTGTAGAGGGGGGGTGTCTGAGGGCACTCGGTGTGTTCAGCTGCAGCAGAGGACACTGAGGGCAAAGCTCAGTGGGAGCTGCAGCTCCTCCCAAGGGGCAGCTCCGACCTCTGCTCCCTATGATGCAGGAGGTTTAGGCTGGACATCAGGGCAAGGTTCTTCCCCCAGAGGGTGCTGGCACTGCCCAGGCCCCCCTGGGAATGGGCATGGCCCCGAGGCTGCCAGAGCTCCAGGGATGCCCAGGGTGGGGTTGTTGGGGGGTCAGGGCAGGGCCTGGGCTGGATGATCCCAGTGGGTCCCTCCCAACTTGTGATTGTGATTTTCCTATAATTCTATCAAGTGCATCGACTTTTCTTTTTTACACCCTGGAGTCAGAAGAAGGTTCTTGTGCCCTTTGGGATGGCGGGTGCCATGCTCTGACACTCTGACATGCTCTAACCCGTGTTCTCCCATGTGTCCCTCAGGTCCTGGCACAGGCGATCAAGGCTGCCAAGGAGCAGCACCCAGACATGTCGGTGACCAAAGTGGTTGTGCACCAGGAGACAGAGATTGCAGAGGAGTAGTTGGGCAGCGTGAGTAGAGAGACCACCTCGGGTGGGGGCAGGGGGTGACTGATCTCGGTGTACAGGAGATTTGGGTAAACAGGGTCAGAGTTGAAGTAAAGTGATCATTGTTCTCTGCTGAGTCCTGCTCAGGCTGTTCCTCTTAGATCCATGAAGGCTGATGAGGCAGTCACAGACAGACTAATCCTGTGGAAATGAGCCCAAATGGGTTAAAAGCTACACAGCTCTGCCATGAGGATACTTTGCCTTCCCAAATATCCATGATGTTCTGGGAGCACATGGAGCAGCTGTAGGTGCCACATAGGTGGGACCCCTGCCCACATCGGTGCCCAGTAACCCCTGAGCTGGACCCCAAGCTTGCCTGGAAATCCCATTTTCTGCAATTTTTATAAGTTTGGGAAAGAGCTGCTAAAGGAATCCAGGAGCTCTGGCTGTGCCTCAGTGCTTTAAAGGCCATCCTGCCCCATGCCACTGATCACAGAATCCTGGAACGATTTGGGTTGGATGGGACTGTAAAGTTCATCCAGTGCCACCCCTGCCATGGGCAAGGACACCTTCCACTATCCCAGGATACCCCAAACCCTGTCCAACCTGGCCTTGGACTTCCAGGGATCCAAGGGCAGCCACAGCTTCTCTGAGCACGGTGTGCCAGAGTCCCACCACCTTCCCAGGGAAAAAATTCCTTCCCAATAGCGCATCTAACCCTGCCCTCTGGTGTTGTCCTGTTGCTCCAGACCCTTGTGCAGAGTCATTCTCCTGGAGCCCATTTAGGCACCTCTCACCTGCCACTGGTGGTAACTCACCTGAATTCAGTTCCCATCCACTTCAGGGGGGCAGATTTCTGTTTCTTCCAGCATGCCGCTGTTGGTAGGTGCAACTTACTGTCTTCCTCTCCTGCTAGGAAACGTTCCTGCCCATGACAACACCAGGAAAAAGAAACCCAGCAAAACTACCAAGAAACTACCTGGAGCACAAAGACCTCGGATTTCAGACTTGACACTCAGAGACATTCATATCATTTATTAAGAGTTGAGCTTTGACATTTTACTTGGGATTTTTCCAGAGTCCACTAGATCCTATTGGATATAGGGTTTTGTTTTGTTGGTGTTTTTTAATATCTATTGTGACAGAAATATGCCATATTTCTAACTTCTAAAATATTTCTAGTATTTTTTACAGGTTTTCAGTTTTGCATTCCCTCTCACGCAAAGCCTCTTCAGACACAGAATCCCACCTCACAGGGCTCCAGGGCTCCCTGTTTTAACTTGTATTCCCTCTGCCTCGTCAGGGATAACGGAGCTGTTCCCTGCACATTCCCAGTGCGGGATCTGTATGCGCCTTCACAAAGCCCTGGGTCCGTCTTCCAGGAGAGTCAGTTTAAAGAGTCAGACTTTGTGCAGCATTTCCGATTGCCTCTAGATTATTTTTGTAGCTCTGGGGAGCTGCAGCCCCGCTGCGACCCCTGGGCTGCTCCGAGCTCCCTCTGCACTGGGTTGCAGCCCTGATGTGTGATCACAGTAGGGTTTTGTGGTGTAGCCTATGCACACATCTGAATAGTTCACTAGATTTAAGGAATACTGGAAGTTGCTTCAAGTATCTTATACTGTGAATTTTAGAGCTTTAAGAGGATGTGATAGCATCTCTCCCTCTTCCCGTGTGTCTCTGCCGAGTGCTCCCCACCTGTTTGTGTTTTCTAGATGCCATTAAATTAAAAAGCCCTTAGAAGTGTGTGTTTAAGGTGTTTGGACTCGGGATGCTGTTAAGGTAGGCTTGTGCAGCATTCACAGGAACTGAGCTTTTCGATGTCATAGTTTTTCACTTGTTTGTGTTCATGATTTTTAAATTAGGGAGGGGTTTTTGGTTTTTTTTTTGTAAGTCATGGGTTGGGTTTTTTTCCTCCCCTCACAGTGCTATTTAAAGCTGATCATGTTACCCATTTCCCAGAGGGTGTATCCTACTATCATTTAATTTAAACTCCTTTAGACAATCCTTCCTAGGCCTGCAAGTTGTATTTGGAGAGGCTGAACAAGGAATTTTAGGAGGTGTCAGGTGTTGCTGGTTGTGATAGAGCCAAACCACATGGGAAGTGTTGACATTCCCTCTTCCACACTGGCCTGCGGGTCTCGATTTGGCTTCATGACCCCCTTGCTGGAATGAAATATCAGGGTGATTGTCTGAATCTTGAGGCTGAGCTTACAGACCTCCAGGGCCATCTCCAGCACAGAGGGGATGATGCAAAAACATTATTTCAGGGGCTGGATGTGCTCCCACTGCTGCTGTCTAAGCTTCATGGGAATGTTCTTGCCTGGTTTGTCCTTCCACCATTTAAATTCAAGAAGCAGAAAACCAACCAAGCTCTGTAAAGAGTCTGCCCAGACACTTGTGAACACTTTTTTTTTTTTTTTTTTTTCCATGTATAAATATACATATATATATATATAGTGTGGCACAGTTGTAGCTGAGGGCAGGAAGCGCTCTGCTCCTCAGGTGAGGATGCAAAAAAATGGCAATAAAGAGAAAAGCTCTCCAGTTTTAAATTTGAATCTTGTATTTCAGAAGTCACTGGATTTAGCTCAGGCTGCAACCTCCACTGTTCAGCTGCAACCAGCCCTGGAACTGCGCTGGGGCTGGTGCAACTTCTCAGCTTCAGGTGCAATTTTAATTAAGCTGTCAGTATTGATTGGAGACTCTGCTGGAGCTGCTGGATTTTGGCTCTCTTTGAGCCTTGCTGGCCCTGGGTCCTGGGAAGAAGACTGGCCGTGCTGGCAGCTGCCTCTGGGCTGCTCTGCTTCCCTCCCAGGACACTCTGGGGATTTAGGGAGTCCTGGGCTATAGTGCAGAGATTAAGTCTTCCTGTCCATGTCTGAAAAGCCCTTTCCTTCCTTATTCCACCACGCAGGCCTTGGAAGAGGCCTGTGTCTCTGCTGTCCTCAGCTTAGTTGGGTAATGCTTGCCTTAAACACCCATCATGCTGAGCACCCTCTGTCACTGTGCTTTTTCTGGGAATTGAGTTCTTTGCCGCTCAGTCCTTCCCTCTCACTTGCAACAGATCCCTGAGGAGTGAAGGGGCACGTGCAGCAATGGCTGAGAGGATTTCTGGGCTTTACCTGGCAGAGCCAGTGTGATAAATTAAGTTTGTCCATAGCACTTAAAGGCACTTGGCTGTCAGGAGAATTGAGGGGAATGTGGTCCGTGGGTGTTCCCTTGGGGTGTCCCATGCCCTGAGCACAATGAGTGGGACAAAACACCCCAAGCAGGGGATTTCTGGGGTGAGGAACCTGCTGGCAGGAGAGGTGGTTCCTTTCCAAAAGGATGTGCTCACTGTCGCTGCAGATGTCCCTTGTTAAAGGGCCTGTAGACTAGAACAACTCGATTTTTATTTTTTCCTTGGATTTTGGGTGGCTGTTTCCAGGTTGTCCATTTTCACACTTCTCCCTGCTCAGTTCTTGCTTCTCCTAGAGTAATTCAAACAAGTCATGGCCTCATGTGCCCTTTGCCATCACCTGCTGTCTGACGTCAGGAGTTTCTAGCCCCGCTCCTGCCAACACGGTGCCCGAGCCCAGGAGCTGGACAGGAGCCTGGGAAGAAGATACAAGTTAAAAGCAGAAGAAGCTTTTCTCACCCTCAGCCAAGGCCATGGTGGGGCTGCCCACTCCCCTTCCACCTCTGGTGGGATTTAAAATCCTTGGCTCTGAGCGTGCTGTGTCAGCTCTAGGGGACAAACCAGCTAAGTAAGGTCTATTTATATGAATGTTCCCAGCTCTTCCCACTCCACAAATTCACCCAGAGACTGTCTTGATTGTATAATATGCATTATATGGAAGCTATTTATATATGAATGAATGTTTTTATGGAAAGGAAGGCAAGGAGCTCTTGTTCTTCTCCATTAAACTGGAATGGCAGCTCTGGTTGCCCAATAGCAATCCCTGACCAACAGAGATGTGTTAGCAAAGGACTGACTGATTTCTGGTTTTAATAAACTGTGGTTTACTGATTTTCCTAATTGTACAATTACCTTAAGAGGTGGTAGCGTCCCAGCCTTAGAGATGAAACTTGTAAAAAACAAAAAAAAAATAAATGATTTTGTTGAGAAGATGAAGGAGCTTTGTAAAAAAATTTTTAAGGCAATTGTGAATTGTCTAGGTTAGGCATTTACAACTCTTTATAAAAATAGGAACTTTTAAAATTGGCAAAACTTTCTAGGTCAACTAGTGATGGGAGCTGTTATTTTGGATTTTCATAGTGAATCAAAGGGAAAGTTGCCATAGTGTTTAGGCAGACCTAAGTGTTCAGTATTGCTTCTTGTATTGCATTTTTCAATAAACCTTCAAACAAAACTCTCCCTGGCACTGAATTCTCTTCTTCCTCCTCACCTTCCTCCAGGTTTCTCTCCTTAGCCTGGCTTTGTGGTGACTTGGTTTTACCAGCCTAAACCAAAGCCTCCAAATGTAGCTACAATAGTGCCAAAGCTCTCCCAGCCCTGGGCCATCATTTCCCTGGGTTCTTGGTGCCTTCAGACCCTTTAAACAGTTCCCATTGTGGTTACATGTGGAACCAAAGCCCCCAGAAAGGCCAGAAGCAATTCCCAGAGTTCAAGTTTGCCCCAAAGAAGCATCACTTGATATAAAACCATCCTTTGAGCTATGGAATTTGTGGTGAGCCCATGAGAGACGTGTGCTCAGCCGCTGCTGCCCAAGTGAGTGTGACTCAACTGGAGTGGGGGGAAATGTCAAATCCATCTATATTTTGGTCCTATCTAATTTTTTTTTCTGGCTTACAGCAGCTTTAGGAGGGACAAAAATAAGGCACAAAAAGCTGACAGGGCATCTTGGCTGCAGGCCTGACAGAGAACAAGAGCCAGAGGCCCAGTTAGGGCAGCTGGAGACTGGAAATTGGCTGGGAAGAGCTTCCCCGGGGGCAGGGGCAGCCCAGGGGCTGGCTGTGGTACCTCCCTGTGCCTTGGTTTCCCTAGCAGGCAGAAAGAGAAGGGTGGCACATGGCATGTCCTGCTAAAAGCTCTGAATTCTCATTGCTCCCACACAGCCATCACCACTTCCACCCTGACCCTGGACAGGTTGCTTTCAAGTACTAAATCTCAGTGTCCTGTAAAGCCAGAATTACCAAGGAGGCTCAGAACCTGACCCTGGAGAGTTGGGAAGCTGCCACCACTGGAGCTGCTTTCCCGTAAGTGTCACAGCAGCATGACTCACTCACAGCTCTGTGGCAGAGCCAGGTCCTGTCATCTCCCAGGCTCCTGCCCTCCCCAGCCTGGCAGGGCCATGCTGAAAACAGCCCTGTCCTGGGGAGCTGAGGTTGGGGAGGTCCCAGCATCTTCAGACAATGCACTGGTGTGAGGGGTTGTGGCTGGGTACGAACCACATCCCCAAAAACCTCGTGTCTGCAGACAACCAACCAATAAATGGCTTCATCCCTTTGCTTACCTTCACTTTGGGATGTCAGTCCCCTGCTCAATGGCATCACCTGCTCCCACTTTTGGCTCTATTGAGCATCACCTGGGGAGCAGCTCCAAGCTCTTGTCAAGCTCCTGTGGGTCCCAGTCTGTCCCACAGCTACCAGCTCCAACAATATGGGATTGTGCTGGACTGCACCAGTGTGTCCTGGCAGAAACACCATCATCAGCCTTGGGACTTCCACAGGGAGGGGACATGGGGCTGATGGCTCCCAAGGGACTTCTGGCACATCCCTGTCCTGGACACTGCAGGGACATCAGTGGCACCAGGGATATGGTCCCACATTGCCCATCCACCCAAACCATGGTGCTTTGCTGGGCAGGAGTGTTGCCATCGCCAGTGAAGGAACACCCCAGCACCGGTGGCACTGGAACCCCCATCCAAAATGTCCAGGGGAAAAGTGTCCTCAGCTTATTTCCCCAGTGTTTGTGCACAGGGACAGCAAACACCCACCTCGATGCTGAGCAGTCTGGGGCCATCCCAGGAGACTGGAAAGGCTTTTCCTCAAAGCTCCCCAAAGCCCCTCTGGGTAAGTGTCCCAAGCGCAGGGTGCCTTTATCCACCTCACAGCCAGAGGAGGAGGGGGTGTGGTAATGTTGCCTGTGGCATTTTGCCTTGCTACAAGCTAGGGAAAATGTTAGGCAAACAAATACCATGGCAATCCAGATGCAAATAAATAAAACCCCAACCCCTTGTTCCAGCTGCGCAGGAGGCAGCAGCTCCCGACGGGCCAAGTCTGCACTCCTGGGTGGCCCCACACCCATCCCAGCCCCAGATCCCACACCAAAGGCAATGACTCTGTCTTGGAGGTCCCAATCTTTGGGAAGAAGCCACAAAAGTCGCTTTCCTTCATCACCCATCCCTGGTCCTTCCTCATGTCTCCATCCCAGAACTCAACCTGCAGAAGCAGCTGTCACATCAGGAGGAGAAAGTTCCCATTAAATCACCAGTTTATTACAGCCCAGACTATTTTTAGGCTGTTCCTCCCGGTTTTTGGGCTCAGCAGCCAGTTGTGTTCCTGGAGGATCAGGGCTGCTCTCAGGGCTCCTGAGGGAATTGCTGTGGGAGCCAGGCAGCAGCGGGGTGACTCCATCCCTTCCTGCTGGGAGAGCCCAGGGTCTGAGACAAATGGGATTGAAAGGGAGGAATTATGTTGTCAATGGGCCAGGCTGGACATGCTGAGCTCAGCTCTGAGCTCTATCAATCACTGGAGAAAATGAAGCACAAAAGAATGGCCAAAACCAGGTGGGGAATTACCTCAGGTCCTGCAGCAGCTGCGTCAATGGCCTTGGATTCATCCCTGCTCCGTCCTCAATCACCCAAGGAAGCACCAGCACAGATTCCTGCAGGTTCATGGGCATCTTTTGCTTTTTGCCCCCAGCATAGGCTCCAAGACACAGCCCCAGAGATTTGGGCTCCAGCCCCATGCCGGTGCTCAGCTGTCAGGACACGTCACACAGATGCTGACAACACTGAGGGAACTCTGGGTTTTAACCCAGGACCAGCCCCAGGGCAATCCATCCCACATTGCTCAGCCCATTTCTACAGTAGGATTAATGTGCAGAGCCTTGGATGCCAGAGAACCTACACAGGACGCCCCCAAACCCACAGAAAAAGCAATTAAAAATAATTAAGCAACTTCTCCCAACCCCACCCCAGCTCCAGACCTGTTCCAGCTCCCCTGGGTACTGGGAAGCACTAGGATGGGTGCCTTCGGCTCAGTGCTGGCTCATTAATGCAGAGAAGCATTTTGTATCACACTCTTGCCCTTCTTTAAAATAAAACAACAGAAATCAGCCCCCTGCGAAAAGGGCCAGGGTGTTACAGACCTGGGGAACACGCCTGCACTCATCACACCGCTCCCCCAGCACAGGTCACACCGACCCCCACGCGTCATCTTCCCCACACCTCGGCAGGAGATTTATGGCTGGGATCACTCACTCCTGGCTGTACTGCAAGTACACACTGGGAGCAGGGCCCTCGCCTTCTCACAGACCTTAAATCTTAAGGAAGGGCACTCTGGCCAAGCAGATTCATGGCTGTGACCTACCCCACTGCAGGGAGAGGAGGAGGAGGCAGAGGAAGGAGAAAGAGCTGCAAACCAGCCAAGGGCTGAGAAGTATCAGGGAGTGATTGTCCCCAGCTGTGGTTGTTGTGCTCCCTGGGGACAGAGGTGTCCCAGCAGCAAATCTGGAGACCTGCTGGCACTACTGGGGTGTCCCCAGGCGTGAGAGACCCCCTCACAGCCACCAGCGGGGTCTGCACCTCCCGAGGGCACATCTCCCACACACAGCCTGTGGCAGTGGTTCCCTCAATCCATTTTCCCTATTTTATCCATTTTTGGCCCAAACTAAGCTGTCCTGTAGCCATGCACCAGCTGAGAGGTCTCTTGGTGCTGGGGGATAACTGCAATTGCCCTTGGTCTCTCCAGCCTCCATCCTCTGGTCCAAGGGTCCCCCAGGGTCAGTCGTCATCAACATGGACACATTGGTGTTGGGAACAATCCCCCAACTTTCTCTGCTGATGTTTATGATTAAACACCCCTTCTGTTGGTAGGAATGTTTTCCTGCAGTGGCCACCTCCTGGGGTGGGATACCCTGGGGGGTGATGAAGCTGGGTATTTAGTCCATAGTGTATGCAGCCTGTTCCTGAGCAGGACAGAAGGCACCACCAAGCACTGCCCTTCACAGGCTGGGCTGTGTGGCATCTCCAGGGCTCCCAGGATTGTTCCACTTCACAACTCTGCAGCCAAGCAGTCAATGGAGGGATCCATCCAGGGTGTACATTTTTACTTCCTCTTTTGATTTCTGTTTCTAACCCAGCCTCACCTTGCCCAGTTAATTCCCAGAACACTGTGAGGACAGCATACATGGCATCCATCCACTGAAACCAGCACTGCTAATATCCCACAAATACTCTGGGAACAGTGTGCACAGACAGAGCTGAAGGTGAGCGATGCACAGATGCTGCTCTTCCCTGGAGAAGGCACAGGGCTTCTCACCCTGCCAGATTAATTAATCAAGCTGCTTTGCATTTTGAAATTATCCCTGTGTGACTCAGAAATGCCTCCCCTGGAGGATGCTGCTGAGCTGGGAAGGAGGATGGGGCAGCAGGAGGATGGGGCAAGAGGATGATGCTGGTGCAGGCACATGGTCCAGGCAGGTTGCCCTGCAAATCCAGCCATTTCCCACAGTTAGACTGAGCCTCAGCTGAAAATGAATGGGAAAAAATAAAACAAACACCCCCAGTAGCTTCTCATGCAGCTCCTTGTGGCATTTTGGGCTTCAATTTCTTGCTGCCAGTTCCCAAAGCATGGCCCAGGACCTGGCATTAGCTCTGGCTGCAGATGGTTAAGCTGAAGGGAAAAGTTATTTTCGGACAAAAACAACCTTCTGGCACTTCTCAATCCTGCTCCAGGGCAGACCCCAATGGTGACTTTTTCTTGTTGCTGTTTATTGCAATGAATCAGTGCCTAAATACTGTTGAGATTAAGTAGCCAAATAAATAGCTGAGCTTGGGCTGGTATCACTCCCAGAGAATCCTTTGGGATGCAGCTGGGCCCAAACCACAGCTGTCGGTCCCACCTCTGGTCCCTGCATGGGGGAAGCTGTACCCAAGCTCTCTGGGAGGGCTGGCATTGGAAACAGAGACAACTTCTCCCTGTAAAGTAGAACCCCCTGCCATCAAAGCACTGTGGGGGCTGCTTTTTGGGAGAAGAGGGGGCTGGGGTAGAAAAGGCAATTTCCAAATTATTTTACTGGGATGTTTTGATCTGGAGAAGGACGTTGTTCCCAAAGTTTGCAAGGTCTGACACTTTGTGCTCAAGACCAGAGAAGGAGAAGCAGAGACAGAAATAAAACACCTCCCCCCCCCAGACATTTCATACACATAAAAGAGATTTCAGCTATCCCAACAGACCCTGGTTTTGGGAAGGTAAAAGGCAAAGATCCCATCTAGGCTGCCACAGCCATTTTGAAGCCTCCCAAGCTGCTGGAGAGCAGAGCTGTGCTAGTCTCATCTCTCCAATCCATACATCCACATGCCCTGGCATCCTGGGGCTCCTCCTGCCCGAGAGAGCTGGAGGGAGTAAGCAGGGATGGGATGAACCCCCAGCTCCCTTTTCTCCAGGAATCTACCCCAGTGCTGAGGCTGCCTCTCTGGCCTCATCCCATACAGTTCCTGCGCTGCATCCAACAGGCATCAAGTATCAGAACAGCACCAAAAGGACCTGGTCTACCTTTCTGTCCCTTCACATCCTTCCTCCCACCACCTGCATCCTCCATCCCACCAAAAACCAGCACAAACTCAGATCCACTGAGAGGCTCTCAGAATTGCTGCACCCCAAGTGGGCAGCAGCACCTTGCTTGCAACTCCTTGGGCACCTTTTTTACATCCCTTCTCTCCATAAAAATCCCAAACCTTGCACTTATCACCTCATCCTGTGAATGTTGAGCAACTGATTATGGAGCATCCCTTCTCCAGTGGAGTCTGGGTGGGGGCACAAGGTCTCACAGACCCTCTGGCCAGACTGCCGCAGGCACTGCCCCTCCCAGCATCCCACAGGCAAGAGGAGGAGGAGGCAAGGCATGACCACATGGCATCCAGATAATATTTAATAGCCCCGTTGGGCCTACGTGCTCTGGCCAAGCAAATTTTTTGGTGGGTTGAGGCTGGACAAGGGGACACCACCCCCCAAAGCATCTCCCCACCCCAACCCTGCTGAGATAAAGTATTGTGGGGGCTGGTGGGGTTTCACCCGCCCCCATGTCCCTATCCCACAATTTGTGTGGGGTCTCAAAGCAAGGACTCCTCTGGAAAAGCCACCAGGAGAAGGTCTTGTAAGGCCAAGGGCATCTACCCGGAAGGACATCCCACCTAGGCGAGTCCTTGCCCAGGAGCGGAGGGTCAGGACCTTCCTCTTGGCATTGGCTTAAAAATGCCACTCCCAAACCCCTCCTGGATGTGGGGTTTTGGGGTTGCTGGGGGCCAAGATGAGGGACTGGGATGTTACAGTCCCCAAAGGTGCTGGGGACATCAGACCTGCGTGCCCTGCTCCATCCCCACCACCCAGGAGCTGGGCAGGGGCTCGCCCTGGCTTGGGGGCTCACTGGGCTCCAGCAGCTGGTCCAGGGACTCGCCAGTGCTTTCCAGTTTGGCGTAGCCCACAAGGCTGACGTGGTCCAGCCGGGGCCAGCTCCGGTTCTTACGGTCCTTGATGGGGGCCACCAGCAACACCCCCGGCCGGCCAAGGTCCAGGGATTTGGAGTGTCCTGGGGCGTGGAGGTGCACATCGGGGCTGAGCTCCACCAGCGGCTCCACGCTGGGACAGCTGTCATCCACGCTGATGACAACGTGGCCACCACCACCATCACCATCCTGGCCGCAGGGTGCGGTGCCGTCACCAATGGAAAGCGGAGCTCGGGAGAGCTGTGATGTTTTGGGGGGATGCTCAGCAGGGTCCCTCTCTGCCCTCCCGCCAGCCCCCCGTGCTGCCCCGTCCAGCAAGCAGTTGTTGAGCTTGATGATGGGCAGTGTCAAGGCTCCCACGGCCGAGGACAGGAGGGACTCGGCTCCAGCGCGGCACGGGAGGCTCAGGTTGACCTCGGTGGAGCGGAGACTGTGAAGAGAGGTCGCGGGGGAAGCTGCCGGGTGCTGCAGGAACTCGGCCATGGCCTGGAGCCGGTTGGGGCCGTAGCAGTCGGACCACTTGCTGCCAGGGCTGGGGCAGGGCTGACAGGACAGGTCCACCTGGTAACAGCCCTCCACGCACTCAGCATTGGCCTTGGGGAAGGGCTGGCTGTCCCTGTGCTGGCAGTGCCCGTCCTCGGGGCTGGTCCCCTTGGGCAGCCCCACTGTCAGGCTGTAGAGCCCCTTCTGCATCAGCTGCCGGGTCTCCATGTCCCTGTTCTCGTACAGCATCGTGTTGGCGCAGATGAAGATAAAGAGCCCAATGCCCATGATGACGGGGCCGATCAGCTTCAGCTTCTCGCTGTGGGGCATGTGGTGCCCGGCTGCCGCCTCCCTTCTGGTGTCCCCCACCACACTGGTGTTCCCCGTGCCGGCCCCAGTGCCCCCATGTCCCCGGTGGGGCCAGTAGCCCACCACAGCAATGGTCATGCCCACCAGGACCACCGAGATGCCCACCATGACGAAGGCCCCCGCGGGTGAGCGCATGCGGAGCTGCCCTTTCAGCGGGGGCTCCGTCGGGGACTTGCGCCGCAGGCGGCGGCCCTGGCGCCGCGGGGGGACGGGGGGCACCGGCACCTTGGGCCCTCCGTGCTCCGGTTCCCGCATAGGCCCGTTGGATTCGGCGCTCTCTGCAGTCATCGTCTCTGGCTCAGCCACAATTCCTGCACAATGGGAGGAGAAAAAGGTGAGCAGGCATCACTGGGGGTCCCTGTGCCTGGGATGCTGGAGCATGGGCACCACAGGGACACTGGGAGCACGGGGATGCCAGGAGCACCAGGACACCGAGCCCACAGGTTACACCAGGCAGGGACAAGCAGCTCTGCTCTGCCCGATTGCTCCCCTCTTTCTCAAGTCACTTCTCTCTCTCCCCACTCAGGAGTGAAGGGCTGAGGCATCTCTTCCAAACACACTCCCAAAGCCCCCAAACTCATCCCTCTAAACGCCTGAGCTGCGCAGGAAGCGAGGACAGCTGGGACCCTGCTGTGCCACACCCAGCACGGAGCCATCGCTGGCATCACAGCCTAAGGGACCTGTCGTGGGTCACCCCAGTCCTGCGACACCTGCAGAAGGTGCCACTGCCAGTCTGCCACTACAGCAGTGAGGGAAGGAGCTGTTTATTTGTCTGCTGGGGAAACTGAGGCACCTGGAACTCAAACGAAAGGTCTGGCAAGCCACACCACCCAGAGCCTGTGAGTGATGATCCAAGCAGGACCTAAAAACCTAAACCAGTATCAAGCCACTCATCAGACAGCAGGACCCATCAATCCATGGAGAATTTAAGCTAAAAGACGTGTTTTTCCCGATTTTCTGCTGTCTCCTATTTCCTCTGACCTGCTCAGTGCACCCCAGGATCCTGCCTTCACACACACCAACATAAAACATAAAACTCCACATCTACACAGTGTGTCATTTTATCCAGAACTTTATTTCCTAGATGCGCAAAAAGGTGTGGAAGCTGCTGCCCAACACAGTAGGTGACCAATCTGGTAAGAAGCATCAGCTGGGCTGGCACCATTGTGCCTGGGATAAGTGGAACCCTGGGAAGCTAAAACAGGCCTTGTACAAGTCCCAGACCAAGAACATCTTTTAAAAATATAAATAACCTCATGCTGACAGGAATCTGTGTTCTCGCAGCATGGTGCTGCCATGGCTGGCAGTGGGGCTGGGGCAGGACAGGGTGTCCATGCACTCTCCTGTGTCTCCCAGCACTGCCAGCATGGAAATGCTGCCCAGGCCATTCCCAGAAGAACATCCTGGAGGGGATGTGAGCAGGGAGAGCTGCAGGGTGGCCCCCAGCCAAGGGATGCTGTGGGAGGGGGGCTTAGCACCCCACTGCATCTTAAACTGTCAAGAAAAGCATTTGGACAACACAGTCATAGATATTCAGCAAATCAAATCCAGAAACTAAACCCAAGGAGAGCCCTTCAGGAGGACAGGGGTGACCACTCCAATTTCACTCCCCAAGATGAATGAAGTATGGAGAGCCAGTGACCAGCATCCAAACAGCAGAAAAATACTACTTTTTTTTTCCCCCAGTTAATCATCTTAAGGTGTTATTAGCATCAGAGGGAAGGAATTAAAGATATGAGATCCAGGATGACAGCTTGTTCCTGGCACAAGGCTGTCAAGCTGTGACAACTCAAGTAAGGGAGATTTAAAGGGAAAAAAAAATAAAGTCCCAGACAAACCAGACCAAACCACAGGCCACTGCTGAGAGGGGTATTAAGGTTTTCTGAAAAATAATTTGATAATCCCACATGGCAAAGGGAGAAACACAACAAACGCACGGTAATGTTCATCCTGAAAAATGAGGCTTTAAATATTTTGGTACTAAAGGAAAACTACTGGACACTTGAACACATCCCAAAGACTGTGGGTTTTTTGCCTCCAAATGCTCTGATTAAGTTTATGTCTCAATTTTCTCTAATTGCCATCTTAGCTTCAAACTTTCTTAATTTTTATAGCAAACCCTTTAAATGCCTTGCTGACTACTTAGGGATTAAGAAGAGAATGACCCTCTACATTGCAAGAGAAAGCTCTTGGACACTGATTGGGGAGAACACGACCCCCACAGCTCACAACCCCAAACTCACACTGAACACACACCAGGCACCTCCTGTTTTATTCTGGAGCCTCAGCTGTGCCTCTTTAACACCAGTTCCTCTAACCTCCCTAATCCCCACTGTGGAATCAAGACCAGTGTCCACAGGGATGAGGAGCATCCCTGGTATCCCACCTGTGGGGACAAAGAGCTTCGCTGGGGTTCTGCCTGTGAGGACCATGAGCACCTCCCAAATTCTGCCTGTGAGGACCACACATCCCCTGGATCCCATTCAGGACAATGCCTTGGGTCTAGGTGATGTTCACCTGGGTTGCACCAGGCTGCTCTTGCCACACTTTTGCTCTGGATACAGTCTGGATTCATCTCAGGCTGCTTGGGAACGGGTACAGGAGGATGAGAGGCGCCCACCCACCCCACGTGCACAGGGTCCAGACCACACTGGGGCTGAAACAATCCCCTTCCCACCTTGTCTCCTTTTCTCTGGGAACAGGGACAGAGGTGCTGGCAGGAGGGACAAGGCAGATGCCACCAATCTGGCTGCAGGCAGGGAATCCCCTCTGCAGCCCCGGCCACTATTCCTGCCCAGAGTGCCTCTCCCTTACGTGCCCACTGCCGTGTTGTGAACTCGGAGCGCTTCCTTGCTCATTGCTGGGGCTGGCTGTTCCCAGAGTTCAAACCCATTATTTTTATTAATAGAATCCCCAAGGTTATATAACCCTTTAGAAAAAATAAATTAAAAAAACACAAAACCCAGCACTGCCATTCCCTCCTGCACCCTGCAGCCGCTGACACTCCCGCGAACGGATGAATCCCACGTTAGAGCAGCGGCATCAGACACAGCTCTAGGAACAGGGCTCGGGGACAGCCTGGTCCCATGCTGGGGACAGGCAGTGGCTCGGCATTCCTGGCCATCTCCGTCCAGCCCGGAGGCATTTGTGGCTCACCAGGACCAGCTCTGAGGTTTCCATTCCCGGTGGGAAGGAATAACAGTATGGAATGACAGTATGGAACTGTAAATGTCATTCTGGAGCGGGATGAGCACTGCTCTGCTGCCAGGTTAAGCTCCCAACCCCTGCAATAAGCCTGACACTAAAATAAACCCAAATATTTCTCTAATCCCTCCCATCACAAAGGCACATTGCTGACTCCACCCTCCCACCTCAATCCTCCCTGGCCGCCTTCGCAGATTGATTCTCCTAAAATTTGACACTAAATCCCAATGCATCTGACAGCAGCAGAGCTGGGTGGTGGTGAAGCAGAATTTGGGAAGGATCTCTCCTGCAGGCAGATCCTCACATCCCCTGGGTGTCCCTGGGATGCTCTGCCCCTACCATGACCACAATGCCAGCTTGAATTTCCAGCATCAAAGGCTATCAAAAAGCAGAAATGGCCTCCAAATCTCCCTCTGGCTAAGGGAAGAGAGGCTGTAACGGTGTCTGGAAGTGCCACTCCAGTCCTGTGCCACAGGAGGTGCCACCCAGCTCAGTGATGGGCTGGAGATGCAGAAATGCCATATGGAAAAGGGCCAAGTGCAGGCAGCTCTGAGGGCCTTCTCCTCGCAGGTTTATCCCTCTTGCCAGTTATCCTTCCAGGAGCTTTTTCTTTTCCTTGGCTCACACCTGGAAAGGGCTTCACTGCAGGACAGCATCGACCACACAGAAGGGAATCCAGCATCTCCCTAGGGACAGTGTTCCCATTGCTGCCATGCCCCATGCCAGGCTGTGCTGCCCAACCATGGGGCATGATCCCATTCTGCACCAGGATCCCACCCTGGATGCAGGATCCTGTGGGTCCTGTGCAGGGCATCACCCCGGGAGCTGGCACAGGAACAGCCCTGCCTGGCTGTAATGAACACCCAAAAAATGCCCAATAAACAGAAACCACCTCTGTTTCCTTTTTCTTTTCCTAAAGTACTATGACTTTAAAGATGCTCTCCTGATTTTGGGAATAAACTGGTTTTGCAATTCACTGCTGAATCAGCCAGCAAAACCTGCAGTGTGTCTAAAGGCCACAGTGATGGGTGAGACCCCAAATCAGCAAGCACAGCCCAGCCCCCTCTGCCTCATCCAAGCCCTGGGGAGCCTATGACATCCAAGCCCATGGTGGCTGAGCTCCCCCAAATCCCTCTCCACAAGGAAAGGGGACCCAGACAGACAAGACCCTCTGGGTATGAGGCTGTGTCGAGCTGCTGGAGCCCCCCTGGTTCTCCCACCCACAGGGAAGGTACGGAGAATGGGAATGACAGTCTGCACTGAGACGTGTTGCTTAAAAATAACTCCTTTTCAGCCCAACCTCCAACGCCGCCTCCAGCACGGGGCAGGAGGCGACCACAGGAGCAGTACCCAGGCATCAGCTCCTTCCCCATCCCACCTCCCATCCTGGCTGCAGGAGACCAAAGCCAAGGCCAGGAGGGGAGCAGCAGTGATCCCAGTGCACTGTGCATCCCTCACGCTGGATACTCGGGTGGTCTGAGCCCTCGTATCCCCACCTGTGCAGTGCCTCCTCCTTCCCTAGTTCTCTGGGTTCACTTCAAGTTCCCCTCCTTGGCTACACATAAAGGTCTCCAAAGAGAGGGAACAGGAGAAAAATCTGCCAGATGTTTCTGGGGGTTTCCCAGCTGGAGCAAACCCTGTCACCACCCCAGCATCCACTAGCAGCTCCCAGTCCAGAGCCTCCCCTGGGTTCATTCCCAAGGAATAAAACCTCCCTGTGTGAACCTGACACAAGTGTTCCCAATGCAGTGACAAAATCTGGTGGCTCCAGCTTCAGCTGGGGGCACCCATTAATCAACCATAATTAATTAAGTTCCTTCACAGAAACTTCCACATAAACTCAGTAACACTAATTACCACAGCAGGGGAAGGATTATCCCCTTCCCAGTGGGAATCACCTTCTGGTCCTGGACTGGGAGTCTCACTGGGATTGTGACAGATTTTCACCTTTGCTGCAGCACAGAAGATTCCAGGACTGACCACCCAAAGGTCAGAAGTGCCCCTCATTCCCCTCTCCGCAGCACAAAGCCATCAGTTTTCCCAGGTGAAAGATGGGATGGAGGAGGGGCTAACACCAAACCACCTCCACCAAGCACCTTTCAGCAGGGGCATCACCCCCACACCTGGCCTGGGGTGTGGAGAAGCATCGTGCCTGCTTCCCATCATCAGGTCACATGTCCAGACAGCAGTCAGGAGCCACCAGGGCCACCACTGTCACTTGGAATGTGATCCAGAGAAAGATGGTGCTGGGGTGATCTGGGGGCACACGGGTCTCTCCTTCTGCTTTCCACCCTGTGCTTGACCCCAGGGGAGAGGGTCCTGATGGGCAAATGGGACGTGAGGAGTGAGAGCCACCAATACCACCAGCAGCTCCAGCTCCATTCACCTCGACTTCCCCAAACTTCTCCCTGCTCCTAAAAAATGGGGCCATGCTCTCAACGCCTCTCTAACCCTCAGGCAAAAGAAAGTGTGTGGAAACATCCCACTGATTACTAATTATCAGAGCCTGCCTTACCCAGATTTGCTCTGCTAATTAGACTAATCTCCACGGCTGGGAAATGAGCTGCAGTCACCCATGGTGAGGAGCTCACGCAACTTGGATATTGCTTAACTCTGACATGTCAGACCCCTGCAATGGGAGCGGGATTGTAATTCCCAGCTGCTTCTGACAGCCCATTGTTTAAGGAGACAATGAAAATCCACAAATCTGGTGTTTCTCCCTCAAGCCAGTGCTGAAATCAGGACATCTGCATTGCCCAACTTTTTTGATAGGAACCAGATGCAAATAATTAATAAATTCAAATTCAAGATAATGCAGATATGTAAATTTAAATGGAGAGAGCTCTTTGCTCACTTGGAGGAGGGGGAGGAGTGAGGGGCTCAGGGGGATTTCCTGGGAGAATTCCTGCATCTGGAAAGTAGTGTGGGGTGGCAGGGCACCCTGGGATGCAGGCTGTGGCCAACCACCTTGCAAATCCTTGCAGCCAAGAGAAAAGGAAGGAGAGTAAAAGAAAAATCCATGGGCTGAGATTTCCAGGGAATTGGGACCAAACTCTTGCTGAATTTGGCACCTTCCCTGCTGCTTTTTTGAAAAATCCCTGCCAGCATGGAGGGAGGGGACGGGATGGAAGGATGGAGTCCAGAGGCTGCCTCCCTGCTCCCAGGCATGGCCCGAGTTATCCAGGGGGTACAGACACACAGACTCACATCTCCCACTCCGCAGGCCCACATCTCACTTGGCCTGCAAGCAATGAAGTTCCCAGCTGTATTCCCAGCTGGTATCACTCTTAACTCCCAGCTTTTTAACCCCCATCTCCCCTACTCTTTATCCTGCAAAAGACATATCTTGCTGATTTCATGAGCAAGGATCCAAACCCACCTAGAGGTGAGACAGAGCCGCGGTCGCTGACCCCTCCATGCCATAAAACTCAGCCCCTTGTGCACACAGGCCCTCCTGATCCCAAACTCCGTGATCTACTGGGATAATTTCCACCCCCTTCTCTCTAGTGTCTCCATCAAACCCTGCGTGGGGATGAGCTGCGGGGCCACTCCCCACCCCAATCCTCTGTCAGGAGCCTCGGGAATTGCAAAAAGTGCTAGGACTGGGCAGTTCTACTCAGCTGCCGGGTTTTGGCTGTGTGAAGATGTGTGTGCCTCTGTGTGGGCTTGCACAGGAGCGTGCATGCACAGCTGGTTGTGCAAGCGAGTGTGTAAGTGTGGTGTGTCCGTGTGCGTGTCACGGTGTCCCTGCGTGTGCTCAGTGTCTGTGGGAGCAGATTTGTATCTGTGGGTGCCTGGTGCCCCCCAGTCCGCAGTGCCTGCGGGTACCGGGTGTCTGTCCACGGGTGCCCGGGGGTGCTGAGTGCCCGGCGCGCATCCCGCCCGGGCTCTGTGTGCCCGAGGTGGATGTGGATGTGCACGGCCGGTGCCGCCTGTCCGGGTCCGGGTCCGTGTCCCCCCGCCGTCCCCCCGTCCCCGCACTCACCGGCGGCCGCCGAGCCGTGCGCCTCCCGCCGGGGCCGGGGCCGGTGCCCCGGGGGCAGCGGGAGCTGGGGTCCGCCGCCTCGGCCGGGGCCATGGAGCGGCAGGAGGCAGCGGGGTGTTGGGATCCCGGCTCCCCGCTCGCCGCCGCCGGGACGTCTGGGCGCGGGCGGGGGGGCGGCGGGTTCCGCCCGGCCCCGGGTCCCGCCCCGGCCCCGCGGGGGGCGGAGCGCGGCGGGGTCGGGCGGGGGGGACGCGGACGGGACGGGACGGGACCCCCCCGTGCCCCTCCCGGGGCTCCGCTGGGGCCGGCGGCCGCTTCCCGGGCGTGGGAAAGTTGCGATCGCGGTGCGGGATCGATGGGGTTTGGGATTTTCCTGGCTCCGAGCGGGGCCGGCAGCGGCGGGGGATGGAAGGGGCCGGGCTGGGATCCTTCCTCCGCCCCGCTCCCGGGTCCCCTCGCCCAGCGGCGACCCCAGGCCCTCCCGCAGGATGGGCCCTGCCTCGTCTGGGGATGCTCCAGTGGAAGGTGTTCCTGCCCACGCCAGGGGGAGGGATGAAACTGGATGGTCTTTAAGGACCCTTCCCACCAGACTATTCCATGATTCTCTGATCCTATGAAATACTCAGAGCTCAGAGACCCTTCTCCACCCCACCACAAAGCCCCCCCAGCCTGCGGTGCGCCAGAAGATCCCGGTTCCTCAAGCCAGGCCGGCCTGCGCTGGGACTGGGGCTGCAGTGGATCGCCCCGTTCAGCGCAGGGAGTTCAGCAGTTGGGATGAAGCATTATCCCACGTCAATCCTGGCAGTTGGAGGCGTTTGCTGCAGCCCCCCCGCTCCGCACGACGGTGCTAATGCAGGTTCCAGAGGCACTTTCTCCTCCAGGCAGGCACAGTGCAAGGACCCTCTGCAAGGAGCTGCTCAGAGTGCAGGGCTTTGTTTCCCCTCCTCTGAATTTGCCAAAGACACAGCAGATCTCTCTGTCAACCCCAGGGATTATGGCACAGCACCCCCATTCCTGCATCCTCATCCCTCATCTTCATCCCCACATGCTCATCCCCTCATCCCCATTTCCTCCTCCCCGTGCTCCCATCTCCATCCTCACAGGGCAATGAACAGAATCCCACAGCTGTAACTAGGGTCACATCCTGACACGCCAAAACTGCCAATCCAAGCCTTCACCAGCACATTTCCAGCCCAGCACCACACCCCAACACTCCAGTAAGTGCTGTGGGGACTCCATCTCACCCAGAGCCTCAGATGTTCTGCAGGCAGAGGCTCTTTCTCAGCCTTTAGTTAAAAATGTGCCAAGGTCACATTCCCCAGATCCCTGATCTCCCTAGGAAGCCACAAAACAACTCAGCAATTCCCTGTGTAACTTTGCCACTGACACCCCACAGCCCAGAAGCAGATCCAGGATCCAGCTGAATGTCTCTATGGCAAGGAGCACTTCCTGGGAAAGCTTTTTAGGGATAAAGCTTAAAAATGAGGTGCAGGACACCAGGTTCCTCACTTGTCTCTGGCAGGGAGCATCATCCAGAGGGTTGATGATGAGGGAAATTAATCCCCAGTTCTGGGGGAATGCTGCACAGGGTCGATTCTTTGTTTTCTTGCCAGGTTCAGTTAAAGCAACTTCTGTGAATCTTTGGAGTTTCTCAAGGGAAGAGATTATGGTTGTGGGTCCAAGGTGCCAGCTGCATTGCTGGAGTGGAGCAATGCCTCACTCATCCAAACCTTCCAGACAAAGAACACCACTGCCCAGGGAAGAATGGGATTTGACTTTGGCTTTTCATGCTGTTCAAGCAACATATTCAAAGTCTCCCTTTGCCACCACTGGAACCCATCTGGGTACCCCATGATCCAGAAGAAATTAGTGCTTTTGAGCAAAATTTGATTTCTATTCAGAGGCTGTACCTGTGCCAGGCAGTGCTGGCCAAAGAGCCAGAGAGGGAAGTGGTGGGAGCTCAGTGCTGGCAGCTTTTGGAGCAGGGCTTGGTGGTTTGGCAGCACGGGCAGGGCACGGGGCAGGCAGCATGGGGCTGGCAGAAGCCACCGTGCTCCAGTAGTGCCCCTCCCTGCACAGGCTCTGTCTCCACAGCAGTTTTTCAGTTGCAGGTCACCAGGGACGCACTGAGTGCGCTGGTCTCCCCAGGAGTCAACTGTTAATGTGGGGAGAGATGCTGGAGGCAGGACTGGGGGAGAGGGAAGCTGCCTGTGGTTCCCTGGGGTTAAAGTTGGGTTGTGCAGGGCAGGAAGAGCTCAGCTCTGGTAATCCTGGCAAAACCTTCTCTGCTCTCTGCTGCTTCAGCTGGAGACTGAATCTGGGCAGGAGGGACCATGTGGATGGAGGAAGGAGGACCAGGCAGGGAGTGATCACAGCCAGGATCTGAGAGCAGAGAGAAGGAATGTTGTTATGGAGAGGCTGAAAGCTCGGGGTGGGGATGACTCATGCTGGAGAACATACAGCTGTTGGAGCGGGATTTGGCACGCTCGCGGGGCTGAGGAGCCTCCCCCATTACAGAGAGGGGAAAGAGGAGCCTCCGTGATGGCTCTGACCTGACAGAGGCAGCTGTTGACCTGTGCTGGAGGTGACAGGCAGAGAATGCAGCCTGCTAAAGAGGGGTCATGGCCTGGAGAGGTATTTCGGGCAGCAGAGAGTGCTCAGCAGTGAGATCCCCTCTGGCTGAGGGATGTGTATCCTGAGTGCTGGGGCTCCTCTGCTGTCTGCCTCGGGGAAGGAGAGTCAGAGCAGTGGGGCTGGGATGGGGCTGGAGAGGTCAGCTGTGAAGGACAAAGCATGAAGCAGACATACCCACCTTACCTAGTGACAGGGGAACCAAGGTATGGAGCAGAGATATGCTCTCTGTGGGCTCCTTGGCCCATGGTCATGGTCTCCTCGTGCTGGGAGAGGTGGATGTGGGGCCTGGAAGTGATTTCTGCCTGAGGAGTCAGACCACCATTCCTCCTGGGCTGCTGGCAGCTGATGGTTGTAGGGTACCAGAGCTTCCATCCAACTTCCATCCAGCAGAAGATGCTGCAGCAGCTTCCCCAGCATTCACAAGGCTGCCACAGGGCTCAGGGGGAAAAACAGTTCCCCATCCACTGGAGCCAGGGCAGGCAGAGAAGGAGATTTGGGCAAGGCGTTAGGAGCAGAAGGGTGAGCCAGCACCTTCCCAAAGTCACTTTCAGAGAGATGATTTTTGTACAATGCCTGGAAATAACCACAGCACCAGATTCCTGGTCCCGTGGGCTAATAGCTCCATAGGCTGCTTCAGAGGTGGCCCCATTACTGGGGTAAATGAAACAACTGTAAATACAAACAGCCCTGTAATTAATCACACTCTGTAAATGTGAAGTCATTATCTGTATGTCCCTGGAAAAGTAATTATCTCCAGCTTTTCAATAAAAACTTGGAAAAGCCTAAAGAGTTGAGTTCTGGAAATGTCATCCATCTCCATGTAGAAGAAAAGCTGCATATTTTCACATATTAATGCAAGTTAATAGAATGTACAAAATAAGTGAGATTTAATATGTCTCCAAAGCTGTAAGTTAAATGCCTCTTCTCCTCCCAGGGATTTATGAAAGTGTTTTGCAAACTTTTCCAGTATTGGACGCATCCTGTGGTGCTGTGTTTAATTTTCTAGGCAGTGGACATAAGATGGGATCTGATTTACAGATCTGTCCTCCACTGCCACGTAAAGCAATCCTTCCTTGCCTGACCGGGCTCACGGGTGCAGAGCTCTGTGTAAGGAATTCCTCTTTCCAAACAACCAAACCCAAATGTTTTCCAGTTGAAGGGAACATCAAGTCGACCACTTCAAGCCAAAACACATCTCTGTGAAGTTTTATGCAACTGAAAGTCCACAGAAACACATCCATGCTTGACTGAAAGTATTTGGGAAGATGGCATTGCCTGCTGCATTTACATTCCTGATGCTCTAGCAGCCACTTGGGGAGAGGAAGAGCAAGAGGAGGAGGAGGAAAAGGAGGAGGAGGAGCAGGAAGCGAGAGGCTGCAGACCTGGGGGCAGCACTTGCCAGGAACTACCGGGCCATTGCATTTCCAGCTTGGACCGTGCAGTGTTAGCACAGGCTGAGGAGGAGACCTGCACTAAAGTGTGTTTAATGTCACCCTGTGTCTCTAACACACACTGTGAGCAGAGAGCTGCAGGGAAGGCGCTCGATCTTGTGTACACATACCCAGCACCCAGTGGGTGGCTCAGGCTGGGGTGAGTGCACCCAGAATGAATTTTAAGCAGCCAGAAGCATTCAGGAGAGGGGCTTTTGCTCTGGAGTAGCTGCATCTGGTCATCACTTGCTTTTATTGGTCACACAAAGGATCAAGATCCACATCCTGATGGGAAGAGTGGACTGTCTCTAAGGATTATTCCAAAATGCACCAAAAGGCTCATCCTTCTATCTCTTCACCAGCTTTCTGAGAGTTTCTTGCATCAAAGTGTTTTGGTTTGTCATTTCAGTTATCTTCTAAATTACTCAGCATTAGTGCTTGCTAATGTTGAAGTAAGAGAAATAAAAGCTGAAGTACTTCAGCTAAAGCTGGGATGAGATATTTTACAGAAATGCAATATTCTGAGATTGCCTTTTCATTTCAAAATGAGCCATAATATTTCCAGCTCCACATGCCTCTTGGGGAGGGGAGGAAATTTGGATTTTCAACCCTTTCTTGCTTTGCCAGAGCAGGCAAGGAAAGATTTGAGACAGGCTGGGCTCTCACTGGCAGCGGCTGTGTGAAACCCTGGTGGCTTGGGGCAGAGGTTGAGGGATCTTCCTGATGTCTCATCCTACAGGAGAAATCCCATGGGAACCCAATGAATCCATCAGGGCCAAATTTGAACAGTCACCAAGGGAAATGCGTTTTAGACCCTGTTTAATCAAATGGCTGAACTTATCACTGCAGGAGCTCAAGAGAAGTTCAGAAGTTCCCCTGAACACTGCAGTTGAGGGGAAAGAGCTTCGTCAGCTAACAAACGTGGTCGATGGGATGACGGGATGACATCTGCACTGCAGAAGCCCTCAAGGCATTGTTGCTCTGAAGGGATGATGCACACCAGGGAAGCATTTTCTTCCATCCATCCCTGATCCATGCCAAGATCCACATCTGAAAACCCTCCCATTCCTTTTTCCCTCCCTCATTAAAT